AAAACTACAAGCAGCTCATCAGATGTATTGAGGATCATCGTTTGATATTGGAGTGAGTATATCGATATCAGTCTATATATATATTTTTACCATATATAACATAACAGAACACGCGATATAGACAGCATTATAGGGTATTAATGGGTAGGCAGAGCGAGATAGAGAGAGGGCGAAGGGCGACAGGTTGTACTTGCTAAATTGTTGTTAATTTAAGCTTAAAATTAATTTTCCTTTTGGTCTTTTGCTCTTTACAGCGTCGTTTGCATAAAGAACTGATGTCCTTGATCAAGGAGCCGCCGCCAGGTGTGACTGTTGACACCGAAAGCGTACAGCAAAACTTATCAGAGTAAGTCACACACACAGACACACACACACGCACACTAAGTCTCCGAATTCCGCAACTAGGCCAAGTTCAGTTAACAGCCATAAGCAACCAACATAAACTGGTTAATTAAATTTGGCAATTTAGCGCGTTTTTAACAATGACTCCAATTGTATTACATAAATATTTCTGCTGACTTTTAACGAGCTATCGTTACTAACAAAAAACGGTTTTTGTCTTAATTATAGATGGAAAATAAATATTAAAGGTTTCGAGGGCACGCTTTACGAGGGCGAGGACTTTCAGCTGCTATTTAAATTCAATAATAAATATCCCTTTGACTCGCCAGAGGTAAGTGCCATCGATAAGTCACAGTCGTGAATATCTGTGTTAATCTATGGGTGATAATCAAATCTCTGCTCGTAGGTAACATTCATTGGTAGCAATATACCGGTGCATCCGCACGTCTACAGCAATGGTCATATCTGTCTGTCCATCTTGACCGAGGACTGGTCGCCGGCATTGTCGGTGCAATCGGTGTGCCTTAGCATAGCCTCCATGTTGAGCAGCTGCCGCGAGAAGAAGCGACCGCCGGACAACACGCTCTACGTGAAGACATGCAACAAGAATCCCAAAAAGACTAAATGGTGGTATCACGGTGCGTATGCGTGCTCATTGGATACATTGTATTTAGCGCAGCTGTTTAAATAACTCAATCTCTCTCTCTCTCTCTCTCTCTCTCTCGTTCTCTCTATTTGCAGATGATTCTGTTTAGTTAGCGTTGCGATTTATGACTACTGCCTGCTGCTTGCATTGCGCATACACTACAACAAAAAGAAACGTGAAAAGCAAAACCCAAACTCAACAACAACAATAACAATAACAGCAACACATCACATATATCAACTGAGCTAAGTAAGAAACCAATTTGTTGCCTGCCTGCCTGCTAGCTAGGACATTGCTAATAACAGCAGCAACAAGAACAGCGACAACAACAATTGCAATAGCCAACAACAATAACAACAATCAACAATAATTAGTCAACAAAAATCAATAATAGTTTATCAAAAATCAAGAACCATTTGGAACTGCACTTTCTTTAAGGTCTAGGCACGTTAGGTGTAAATTAGCTGTGACATATTAGAACACATTGTTACATACAAACATTCATAATAATTACATTCATATACATAGATACATCCAAAACCAAGCAGTGCACTTTGAGAGCAAAACAAAATGAGCCCAAAGAGATGTCGCTGGGCAACAATGAATTAGKCAAATATATATGTAATAATATATATTTATTACGACAAAAAAAAAAAAAAGAAAATACCTTACAGCAAACAATCAAGATACACCGACGCGAGCAAGAATTATTACTAAATGTATAATA